CAACCAATTAAAATAATTTTTCAGTTATTTTAAAATTTATGAGTAATTGAGATCTTAATATAAAAAGTTGAAATTAGCGTCTCAGCTTTTGTTTCTTTAAATATTATGATTGTGTCACACAAAAGCACCAGAGTAAATTTTCCGAACTAAAACGAAATGTAAAAATATTTGAAGTTAAATTGAGTTGGGCAATCAATTCGATTGTTTTTTTGCCTTAAAAGACAAAGAGACTCCTTTTTATTTTGATGATTCTCGGCAAATATTGGCTTTGTTAAAATTCAAATTTTAATTATTTATGTTATTATGTTTAATGTTTTGACTAATATTACAAAAAAAAAGTGGAGGTACTTAAGTAATTACTTTAAATTTAAAAAAATTATTTATTAAGGGTTTAAAATGTGCTGTTCTTAAAGCACGATCGTGTAGAACTGAGTGTACAAATAAAGAAAGGAAATGATTTAGTAAGTAAATTTTCCCTCTTACTTCAGTTCCATTTACATTTTAAATTACTTATAGTGTTTTCGATCTTCACTCTGTTCTTATCATCAATTCTTGTTAATATTTCTTCCCCTGAACTTTTTCAAATTCTTTCTATAAGGAAATTTAGCTGTAATCAAGAACCTAATTTATCAATTCAGATATTGGCAATGAAACGAGAAGAATCTTGATTGGCTTATTTTTGGTTTTGTTTTAGGGCTTATTGAAAAACTTTTGAAAAATAACTACGTTATAAAGGATTTTACTGTGTATTTTTATTTATACGTATGTATGTATGTTCAAAATATGAACCTAAATATAGAGGTATGTAACTATAAAATCAATTTTCTATGGAATATAAAATACAAATATTGTAAAAATGATAACGTCGTTGAGAGAAAAAAATGAAAGACAGAGATAGAATAGAGTGGATAAGGTGCTTAAAAGGGATATAGATAGCGAACATAAAAAAAAAAATTGTTTTCTTTTCTCCTGATTTTTTTCTTCTTCATTTTTCTTGTATCCATAATATTTAATGGGGTTTCAGTTCGGTTTTGGGTACAATGTGCTTATTTAGTGCAATAATATGAATAAATTATATTTGTGTTTATCTTTTTTTTTCTATATGTACATAAGTAAAATGCTGTGATATAAGTAATATAAAAGTGATTTTATACATAAAAGTTTGTAATATATAAAAAAAAACAGCATATTATATGTATATAAGCTATGCAGATATTCTTTTTTTTTTTCTTTTAATTTTCTTTTTTAATTTTCAAGAAATTTTCGTTCGATTTTATTGCTACAAATTAATCAGAGAACAATATTCTTCTATAAATATTTTCAAAAGCACTAGATATACGTTTTTACGCTTATACATTTTAATATTTACTGGTAGTATTAATTTTAAATCCATGTATTTTCATATAAGTATATGGTTATGTAAAACAGAAAAATTTAAAATTACATAAGTATCAAATCACAATCATATATTGTAATTCTTTTTCATTTAAATCAATTAAATTACGAATATCATTTTATTTAGTTAATTAAAAACTGAAATTTATTACTAGAATTTCAACGATAAGTGCAATATAACAAATCTTATGTATTTTATTTTAATATTTATAAATATTTTTATGTAATAATTAAGTGGTAGTTAAAAAAAATCAAATGTGATGGATTTGGGTGTGATGTAACACATAGACGTGCAGAGCATTTGCAAATATAAGTTGAGGAAAATTATTAAATATTTAATTGATTAATTGACTTATGTACCCTTTTCTGCAATTATTTATTCCAAATAACTGTTCTATTCATTGTTAAATTTTATGTGAAAAGATTGATAATTAAATATTTACATATGTATATTATTATTGCATATTCAAATTGTAATTTTGATCTTTTCCTACAACAGAATTTACTTTTAGTATTTTTACTAAAATACTTACACTTTTTTAAATTAAAAAATTTATTACTAATTAGCGCGCCTCAAAATAAGTGGTTCGTTTTGTAATTATAAAAATTGTCTTCTGTTTTACTTATGTATATTAATATTAACTATTATACACAATGGTAAAATTAAGAAACGTACTTATGCGAAAAAAATTATTTCATGAAATAATATTTGCCAGCTTTTAAATTGAAATTGGAGTGAATTGATAAAAATTAAACATACATAACAACTAATAAGAAGATACCTTAATATTTTAATTAATTTAATAGCAGGTAAAATATTTTTCAATTTTGTTTTATAAACTATACAATAAACTTTTATTAGTAAACTCCTTAATGCAGGCATTAGCAACTATATAAGTACAGTATAAGTATAAGTAAGTATATTATATGTATGTGTTTTTTGGGGATTTTAAAATACGATAAAGAAACATAATATTTATCTAAGCGATGGGCGATTCTAAAAAAAAAAAATAATTGTCATGAGAAGCAAAATATTTATTTTTGTTTTGTAAATATACTTAAGAATTGTGTTTTTAAGAAATTTATTAGAATTTTTCGCAAAAATATGGTTCATCAAAATATTTATTCTTAATATGAGGTAAAAAAAAAAGAAAATTGATGTCATCCGATTGAATGGTAATTTCTTAGAAATATGTGCCTTTTCTACCTTTTTTTTTCTAAACAAAGTTGATTAAAAACAAACTCCCTACTTAAATTAATAAGATTCTTTTCTCTATTATTCTTTAAATTTGAACAAAAGAAATCATTCACATTAAGAGCCAGCCATACAGCAATGAAAAAGTTGTTATTCGGCATTTTTTTAATATTTTATTTTTATATCAAATTTTAAGGAATAAATTAAATTTTAAGGAATAATTTAAAAGATATTATAAACACATATATGTGAATAAACAGGCAATGACTAATTTAAATCTATTCATGCTAGAATAGTAACAATACAAAGAATTCATTTGCGAAGTCTAAAAACTCACTTTTGATTTGTTGTACATTTTCACTAAAAGTCGCCATTAAAATGCGTACCGTTAATCGTTTAAAATTTTTATGTGTTTTTCTGAACCATTTTTGATTTTAGCAATAACGTTAACAATTAATTAAGTTTCTAAATTTGATTCCAAGTAAGAATATAAATTTTAATAAAAACATTTTTAATAATTAAAAAATTTTATAATATTGAACAAGACAAAGAATTATTTTTAAGTTTCCTTATAATGCAATATTATATTTTAATAAATTTCAATTTTTCCAACATTATAAATGGAGTTATAAGTTTGTTATTCAAAAGCAAAATTAAATTTTAGTTTCATAAGTATTAGATTTGGATATTAATGGTAATTTTCATTTCAAATTATTGCCATATATAAAAATAAAATCAAGAAATCAAGAACATTTAAATTAAACAAAAAATAAATTTTTTTTTTTTAATTCTTCGCTTTCTTTAAAAATTTCGAATTATTTGGTGTTTGTGGTTGTAGTCAGTCGTTTATCTGTTATATTTTATAAAATTAATAAAAATTTTTCTTTCTTCTTTTTTTCTCTTCTTCTATATCGCACCCCAAAAATAACAATGTCACAAAAAATAAATGAGAGATATTTTTCATAATTAAGGCTTATAATAAATAAATTTTGATGAAAACTGGTATTCGCCCTTTTTCTAATGTAATTTACATAATTTTATAAAGAATACTGCCATTACTCCATTTACAGTTTAATCACTTTATGTAGTTATGTCAAGTGAATGTCTTGTTTTTTGATATACGCTCATATTTTTTTGATTCATAAACACATTGTAAAAATCTTGACTTAATAGCGACTAAATCACAAAACTTAGCTTTGAAAAATATGAAAATCTTATTACAGGAGTGCGATACTTCATTTATGTTTGCAGCTATGTTGTTTATTCTGGCTTAAATTTCCTATTCAAATATTCAAAGTGAATGACTCAATAATAGATATTGGAACCAAAAAAAAAAAACAAAAAAAAAAATATTATAAAATCATCAAAAATTGTTTTCCTTTTTCAAATTTTAATAAATAAGAAAGAAAGAAACTAATATCAAATTTTTTGATATAAAACAAAAAAGTATAAGAAGCAATAAGAAAATTTAAAAAAGATAAACTTGAAAAATACTTGCTAAAGAAAAATATTCAAATAAGAAAAAAAATTATTCAAATTTTTGGTCTTACGAGTATTCTTAATTTTCAAGATTTTTTTTTATTTGAAAAGTTTTAAATCCAAAAATAGAAATTTTAAAACAGAAGAAAAACAATGTTATTCTATTTTATTAATTAAAAGATAAGCAATTGAAATTTGTAAGTCAGAAAAAGAACAAAAATTTTGAATTATAGATATAATTAAATAAATATGTACATACATGTATGTATGTATGTAGATTATCGTTACTATCGCACGAATTATAATTTTCCATATAATTTTTGTCATGAAAAATTCACTTGTTGCTAAGAAATTACAATATTTCTTCTCGCTTAAATGAATGCAGTATAGAAATCTGTCAGCAATAAAATTATCTGCCCTTTGCTTACTCATTGAATAAATAGTTGAAAATAGTCAAAGCCTTTTTGAGTATAGTACCCACCTACATTAAAAATATTATAATTTTTAGGAATATCGAGCAGTATAGTTAGAAAAACTAATAGCTTTTTGTGGTGTAAAATATAATGGCGCATTGAAGAATACTAGGTTGAGGTATAGGGTCAGAATGCATTACGGATAAACACTTGAAATTTATATTGTAATATTATTTGAAAATTTCGGAATATAAAACAAAATCTTCAGTTGTAAAGAAGAACAAAACCTTCAGTTGTAGTGAAGAACAGAGTCTTCAGTTAAAACTCATGTTTTAAATCTTATATTATACAGATTAAATATTTTCGGGTGAAAAAGAACAGCACGCTATTATTTTGAATGGCGGAACTTATTTAATGAAACATTATCCTTTTTTCTAAATAAATTTCAATAATAATTTAAAAATGTACAATATAATTGTTTTATATGTATTTATTTAATAAATAAAAAATTAACTAACCTGATTATCATGCGGCACCCAAACAAGACGTTTTTGAGTCCATTCAGCTTGTGTTGTTGGATCATTGAATGGATTTCTTTCAACAGATAAATATTTTAAATCAGGATCATTAGGATCATTGAAACCGTCTGCCATTATGAATTATTTTATTTTATATAAATATATTGTTGTAATTAAGTATTTTTTTTTTAATTTAAAATTTTTAATTTAATTTTTCGATGTTTTTTTTATTTATTTTTTTTTTTTTTTTAAAATCACTTTAAATAATATTTAAATTTTTTTCTTATAATATGAAATTCTAATAACTTTTATGTTGTTTAATTTTCTTGACTAAATTGCAAAAAAAAAACAAAAATAAAAAATTAAATAAAAATATTATGATTTGTTTTTATAAAACACAATTTTGTTTATAAAATAACATTAATTTTTTGAAAAAATTACTTATAAAATAATTGTAATATTATTAAATAACTTTATGTATCGTGCAAAATGATGCGAATGATTTTAAAATTGTAAAATATAAACAAAATAAATTTTATAAGGATATAAAAATATAATTAAATATAAAATAAAAAAAAAATTAAATAAAAAATAAGATTATAAAACAAGTGCTTTCGTTTTTCTTCTTCTTTATTCAAAAATTTATTCACTACTTATCAGAATTCTTTGGATAATAAAACTATCATTTTTCTTTTTTTTTTTTTAATAAACGTTTTCACAGTTTAAGATTTCAGCAATTTCTAATTTTATTTTTGGCAATCAAAAATAAAATAAGAATTTTAATAGTTAAAATAAAATAAAAAATTTTTAAAAAATACGTTGAAAACAATTCAAAATTTAAAAAACAAAAATTAGTAAGCAAGTATTGAAATAAAATAAAATTATAATTTAAATTAATAATTTGTTCTAACTAACCTATGTATGTAGTTAATTTGTGATTATTATAAAAAATAAAGCAATATTAATGGGAATTCTAGTTTATAATGCTAAAGTACCTATTACCTTTGTGCTTAAATTAAAAATTACAAAAAAAATTTATTTTACTTTTTAGCTAAGTACTATGTGTTACCTATTTAGAAAATTTGTGTGACAGTGTAAATAACTTACTTTCATTAAAATTTACAAAATCTTTATTGAAAGCGTCATGAAATGTTACACAGTTTGACCGAATTTTATTTTATTCTATTGATTAATTTAGCATAAGTAGATACATATCTAGATTTTAAAGCTTATATGACACGAAAGAAACTAAAAATTTATATTTACATCTATGGTGCATAACCACTTTAGAGAGAATTGAAATACATGGAGAATTTGTATATGAAGGCATATTAAAATATTTCATTATTAAAAGATTTTCGAATTAAAATTTAATAACAAAATACCTACATAGGTATCTACTTAAAAACCATTTAGAATTTCCTCTTTTTATCATTACCTCATTCTTAATTAATTATTTTATTCACTTAGTTCATACCATTGAAGGCATAAAGAAAATTCGTAATAAAAATTGAATTGAGGTTACATACAATATTCAAAAAGAATATTTACTTTTACAATATTAAAAAGTGGCTCGAAACTCTAAAAATTTTCATCTTTTGGAAGATTTTCTCCTTTAATTTTTAGCGAATAAGGTGCTGCTAATGTATGTAGGATAATAGGAACATGTACTTGTATATAAAATAATAAATTGAAAATGATAATGAAACAAAACAAAAAGTTTCGAGATCTAATTATAAATAAAATTTCGTGCAAAACGTAAATATAACAATGTAGACAATAAACATACAAAAAAAAAAAAAAAAAAAAAAGTGGGAATACGGTGAGTGTTATGATTTTATTTTTAAATTTATTACCTGTTATTTAAATTAGTTTCAAATTATTTTTAGTACATATTATGTAAGTTTTACCCAAAACAAAAAATTTAATAAAGTACATTAGTATAAGAGCAGAATTTACAAATACATAATATATGAATTAGTAAGAGTATATATGGAATTTATGATTAGTAAAAATTTATATTAGTTATACATATTTTTATTTTTTATTTTTTTTTATTTTTTTCAAATTAATGTAATGTTGTATGCGATCTTTGTAATTCAGATTGATTTGTTATATTTTTTGTCATGCTTTCAACTTTATTACTAGTTTCACGTACAACACCAGATATATCAGATAAATCTGGTAAATCTAATGCAATATGAGCTGAAAAACGTTTATATACAGAATTATGTGATACTTTCTTTCTTGGTTTTTGACGTGAACCCTCGTATTTTAATTGTTGTTTTAAAAATATTGCTGTTTTTAATAATTCTTCAGTTTTTGAAAATGATTTATTTGCTTTTTCAATACTTTTTACAGCACTAACACCATATTCAACATCAAAACAATTTCCACGTAAATCATTTTGTAATCTTAATACTTCAGTCCTTTTTTCTGTTATTGGTGGTAAAACTTTTCTAACATGTTCTTGTATACGATAAAATGCCATAGATGGCTCATTTGCAACAATATGAATATTTTCAACAATTTTTTCAGATGTTTTTCCAACTTTAGCTGTCAAATATTTATCATTCATTGTATTCATTGAAAAATATAAAATTTTTATAAATTTTTTAATAAAAAAAAAAAAAAAATTTATTTAAGATTTGGGTGTAATAAAAATTTTTTTTATAAACACGTTTTTATGTCATGTTTGTAATAAGGTAAATTTTTTTTTTTCTGTATTCCTTTTTTCTTATAAATTCTTTACCACATAGTTTTTTTTTTATAATTCCATTTACTTTACACAAATTAGTTTTTATTTTTTTTTAATTAAAATTAGTTCTCATTAACAAATTAATTTTTTTTCTTCTGATTTGGATAAGCTACCTATAATTTTTTTTAAAAATTTAATAAAACTAAAAAATAAGCGCAAAATTTCAAAGTCTAGTTTTAAAACAAGCTTCCTATTTAGGGATGACTCATTCCACAAACTAAGAACCACTTATATACATATATGTAAATATATTTATTTCTTATTAGAATATATTTATTTGTAAAATCTTTTCTTATTAGGTAGGTTCATAGGTACCTACCTACACCTACTTGACTTTTACTATAAATTTATTTCAAAATGAGTCAAGAAAAAATTAATAAAAAAAAAAATAGAAAAAACAAAAAGAATTTATTGTCCGGCTTTTTAATGTTAAATTTCATTTGTTAGAGAAAGCTAACAATATATAGTTGTGCTATTCTAATTTTCGAATTGATTTTCGAAATTCTTTTGCAGATTTTGACAGATAAATCCATTTTTTTTTTTAAATTGAATTAAGAGAACTACGGTGAGATGAGAAATTTTTATCTTTAAATTTTTCTATATTAAAATGAAAATTAATTTTTTTTTTTACACCGGTAATATTTTTGAAAAAAATAGGGAATAGAATAAAAATAATTCTTTTAAATTAGTTAATATGAATAAATATAATGTAGAAAATTGAAGACTAATTTTAGATTTAGGTAGAAGCTCATAAGTATGTAGGTATTTTCTTTAACAAAAATAATTGTAGACGTTGAAAAGCCTCCTCCCTTGAACTTGCTTTTCTGTGCTGCTGCTGCATATAATATTCGAGAAACAAGGACAAACAGTTGAAATTGAAATGTACTGGTACATGAAAGAAACATTCTCAAAAAATTTTTTTACTTATATGAAATTGAAATGTGTTAAGGTGGGGAAAGTTTAAGACAGCGTTAAAATTTTTGTAAAACAAACTTGTTTTTCTTAAAATAAATAAAAAACTGAAAGGATTAATTTAATTTTGTTTTATAATTTATAAATTTAGATAATTTTCATTTTATATTTTTTAATAATATAGAAATTAAAGCTCCACATTTTAAGCTAAAGCAATGTCTGATGTCACACTAAAGAGTACTTAAAGGTCTTTGTATTCAAATTTTTAAAGTCTTTCAAGATTTTATCCAAAGAATTCAATTTTTTTTTACTTATTTTAAATAAATTACAACAAGAAACAATTCTTTTTCACACAATATTATTTTTCAATTTCACAAAATAATTTTTTTTTTTCATTTCATTAAAAAAAACACCTTTTTGTAATTTTCGTATATCAAACCTTTTTTTTTTCTTTTCAATTAATTTTTTTTTTAATTACTTAATAAATTTCAATTAATTTTTATATACTGTAAAACTTAAAAACATTTGGTTTATCAAAAAAATTTGTGTAATTTTGTATACAAATATGAAATATTTCAGAAAAAAAATTAAAAATGGAAATTAAAATAAAAAAAAGCGATTTTTATGTTTTGCTAGCGACACAGAACTAGAGCGACTTAACTGCCACTCAACAATTTTTGGACTAATTTCGATATTCGAATTAAAAACTAAAATACAATTTTTCATTATTCAACTGTGAAAGGCGAGGAAACGTAAAAAAATCTTTTTTACTCCCTTCCACTATTCAATTTTCAAACAATCTTTATGAAATTTTCCTGTTATAGATTTTTCTCGCTTCGTCATTCATACTTTCAATGAAAGATTCGAGGTTAAAAATATTTGCATCTCGTTCAGTTATTTTGTTATGTTATCTCGTTATGTCAAGATCATTGCTAGCTTAAATGATTTCTGACATCTGTGCAGCTTTTCAAAATTTAAAATTCTAATTAATTTTAAATAAATTCTTGGAACATATGAATATCACTTGCCGCGACAAATAAAGTATTTGATATTATTTAAAAAAAAGATTATAGATTAGAGAATCGTATTTAGTATTTAATTTGTGAAAGTTTACAAAATATTGTTCGAATCTGAAAATGAAAATTTGAATTTCGTAAATGTGAATTTTAACTTCTATTTACAATATCTTTATGACAGACAGATTTAATTGTTATTTTTGACAATTATTAGTTGACATTGAACTAAAATTTCTTTGGGTTTTTAAAGCCAAAAGAAAGACGTCCACAAAAGATTCAGCATTCCCAAAACAAACAGAAAATTAAGTAATTGGTGAAAGTTATTGAAAAATTTAATATAACTAAAATGATTAAAGCTATCTTAGTTTTCAATAATCATGGTAAACCACGATTATCGAAGTTCTATCAATATTTTGTAAGTTTTGATGTCATCAAAGTCGAGAGAAATTTATTGATAATTTTTTACATATTTTTTCTTTTTAGAATGAAGATATGCAGCAGCAAATCATTAAAGAAACATTCCAGTTAGTATCAAAAAGAGATGACAATGTGTGTAATTTTTTAGAAGGTGGAAGGTAAGATTTGGATTGAATACATAAATACCTAAACTAGAAATTATGGTACAATGATATTAAAATGCTTAACACATATTATACATTTTATTTTATATATGTAAATATTTATGAAACACTTTGTTATTTCTTTTTTTAAATTGATTTATTTTTTGTATACATTTTAGTTTAATTGGGGGATCTGATTATAAATTAATTTATCGACATTATGCAACTCTTTATTTTGTATTTTGCGTTGATTCATCAGAAAGTGAATTGGGAATTTTAGATTTAATTCAAGTTTTTGTTGAAACATTAGATAAATGCTTTGAGAATGTTTGTGAGTTAGATTTAATCTTTCATGCAGATTCAGTTCATCATATATTAGCTGAATTAGTAATGGGAGGAATGGTTTTACAAACAAATATGTCGGATATATTATCAAGAATTGAAGATCAAAACAAATTAATGAAACAAGAGGTAAAAAAATAAAACTTTTTATTATAATATTTATTAATTTTAATAATTTTATCATTAAAAATTTTTAATTTTATTTTAAGGCTGGATTATCTATGGCACCAGCAAGAGCTGTAAGTGCAGTTAAATCAATGAACATTCCGCAACAGATAAAAGATATGAAATTACCAGATTTACCTCAAGCTATTAAAGATCTAAAATTCTGACCGGCAAATTATAATAATACACATCAAGGTGGTTTTGAAAATACTGTTTTGAATCGTATTACATCACCATCTACGTTAACACATAGCTCCTCTTATGTACCAATTGAATCTGAAGCATTTAATTATGATTATTATCAATCTCATACACTAAGTGGTTCTAATGTTTATGATGAAAAGTCAAAGTTGGATGATAGTAAAGAAATGGATGAATCAACTTTTTTAGGTACAAGTAGAAATTTGGTGAAAAAAATTGAAAATATACCAGAAAAGAAATTGTCTAAAAATCGTAAAAAATCTAAGAAAAAATCTCATCAATGTGAAAAAGTTGCAAAAAACAATAAAAATCTTATTGACGTGTCATCGTATAACGAATTATCTTCATAATTATTTAAAAATTTAGGTCAATTCAAATAATCATAAAAAATTCAAAAATATATTTTAGTATATAAAAAAAATAAAATCATAATAATAATAATGATAATAATATACGAAATTCAAAAAATTTATTTTATAATATAATTACATACATAATTGAATACAATAAAAATATACATATGATTAAAATTTATAGATTATCGCTTCCTCATATAATTAGAATTTAATTTAATTTTTAAAAATTATCTTAATATATACATACATAAATATATTTTAAAAATAAAATAAAGAAAATAATAAATAATAATTTAGAAAATCTGTTTAATTTTTCATAAAACAATTTTGTTATATTAATGGTTAAGCTAAGAACATTAATTTATTTAAAGTAATGTAAGAATTATTTTATTTGCTGAGGTTAGAAATTGAATATAAGTATATACATATTTAACTTTAAGTTTATGAACTCTTACCATTTAGGAAAAAATGCTAAAATGCCAATATTACAAATATTAAATTATTAATATTTTAATTCTCTAGCGCCTGTTGTTTCCATTATATCTTGTAATTCTTAAGTTAATTATGAGCTTTAGTAACGCGTCTTAGTTACAAATCATTAGTTCATTAATCTTCCATTTGTAATCCTCATTTAAAATACTTTTAAGTTTTTCATTTATAATATTATACATCAAATGCCTTTAGTAGTTCTTTTAGTAGTTCTTCTGCAATTGCAATACCATTATTATAGTTTTAACTATAAATATCGCCGTATTAGCTACAAATGTATGGTTTATAATGAATCGATAGCTTGATTTGGATGGATTTTGATTTATATCGGTATTATTAATAAAAATACAAAACTTTAATTTTGATGCAAATAAAGTAATTTTTATTTTTTATTAAGGTACATAAATATTTTTTTTTAAACCATAAATAACTATGCTAATTTCGTTTTGCTAAGCTATAATTATAAAAAAATCCTTTTTTTTTTCAATTTACGGTTAATTTAATTTTAATTCATTACTTATTTTTATTTTAAAAATTGATAATATTGGACGTTTATATAATTTTTTTATTTCAAAATTGTATTGTAATTATTATTTTATTTATTTTGTTTTTATTGTACATTTAAAGCTTTTGCGGGGAGAAAGTTAATTACATTTATTATATTATTTTTTTTTTTGTATATTAAGTATGCACATAGTTAGTATAGTATATAACTATATACACATATATATATATTGAAAACCTTTAAAGATATGAATAATAATGAAAGTAATTTTAAAAATTTTTTTTTGAAGAAGAGAACAAAATTTTTAATTTTCTGATAATATTAAATAGTTATTGAAACAGTGGTAGTATCTACCCACATACAGATAATTATATATTATGTAGGTAGGAATATACCTACAAAAAAAATAACAAATATAATAGTATTCAACTTCGAAATTCTTTTTTTTTGAATATTACAAATTAAATATTATTTTTTAGTAATTTTAATAGATTAAATACAAAATTTATAACTTATATACATTATTATGTAGGTATAACTAAAAACTAATCATCGACTATATAATTTTATTAATTACATATAAAAATATTTGTTTTTTTTTTTGGTTTTTTATTTTTTCGAAAAATATTTTTAAAATTTAATAAAAATACAAATATTATTAGAAAATAACACTTATTAAAGGGGTTTTATGTTTATCTACATATTTTAACATTAAAATTCTCTAAACATTCGTTCTAACGAAATAAAAAAAAAATAAGTGGAAATAACTTTAAATTTAACAAAATTGAAAAATATTAAATATTAAAATTAATAGATACATTTACACACTACTTAAATTCAATTTTGTAATTTGTACAATTATATAAAATATAATAAGTTTCTTCCTTTATTTTTTTTACCCTATCTCAAATTAGTATTTTATTTGTGTTTTCATTTTTTTTTTTTTGATTTTTATATTTTTTTGATTTTACGAATTTTATAAAAAAGTTTTCCAAAAATTGTTTGCAAAATATTTTATAAAAAATTGCAAGCTATTTCGAAAAAGCTATTTGTTTCATATCATTTTTTTTCATATATTAAAGACGGAATTTTAACTATATATAACTAAAAAGTCCCTGAAAAATAGTTTCTTTTATTTGTCCTTAAGCAGAGCTTTGTTTATAGTTCTTTGTGTTTAATAATTTTTTGCCGCACATAGCACAAATTCCTTTTTTATAAGCACATTGTTGACAATAATGTGAACCAGCTTGATGACATTTTTGTCGACAAATTCTAAAATTTATTCCCAGAGGAAAAAAGTTTTAATTAAAATAATAAGGTAAATTTTAATTTATAAATTAATTTTTTTTTTTTTTTACCTGCAAGGTAACAATGCGCTACCTAATGGATTAAATTTAGCTCTAGCACTACTTAATGCCTTGTTTTCATTGATTTTCCTTTTGGAATCATTTTTCCATACCTCTGGAGTAGCTATCCTTGATAGTTTCGCTAGTACAAAAGAAAAACAAGAGCAAAAATAAACAAAATAAAAAATTGTTTTAAGTTATTGTTAAATTTTTCGATATATTAATTAAAAAATACTATTTACCTTCACACTTTTCACAAACCATTTTTAAAATAGAATAGACACAAAAAGAAAAGAACACTAATTTCTAATTTCTACACTTTTTAAATTAAAAATAAAAATTTGTAATCTACTCTAATAATAGTTTTCATTTCAAAAAGTAATAAAAATAATGTTTGACATATGTTTTGACATTTAAGATAAATTTCTGCAAAGTAATGTCAAAATATTTGACTTTTTTCATGGTTGGGTTGGATTTTTGGTCTGGGTGGGATACTGAAGTTTAGACTGTAAATTATTTACGTACGTGTTATATAACATGTACTTATGTGCTTTTTTAATATCATTGTGTAAAATAATTTTTGTAATTACACAATAGAACTACTTTTTTTCATTATTAAACTAAAAAACTTAATATTCACCAGGGCCTCTCAAAAAAATAAATTGTTGTTTATTTACAAAAATTGTCTTCTGTATGGAACTATAAAGTATGTATGTATGTAAATTTATATACAATGATAATAGCTATTCAGTTTCATCTATCTTTTTATTTTAGATTACTTCATTTGCAATTCTTAAAATAAATATACATTAGTATGTACATATATGTATTAAAAATTAAATAGAAACCAATGTTAAATAAAAGTTAAAAATTTTTTTTTTGAATTTTGGTTAGTAGACTAGGTTTACTTTCAAGAATTTGGATAAAAAAAGAACACTGAAATTTAAAAACTAAATTTTTTAAAGGAAACTAATAAAATGAGGAACCATAAAGAGACAAGAACTCGACTGGCATAGAAATAAGATTGAATGACTAATAAATCACAATTCTTTAAAAGTAAAAGATATGAGATTAAGAAAAACAGATTTTGGTTTCTATTTCATAAGATATTTTATTAAAAGACAATACGGTATAGATTTTTATTCAAAAAACAGTAAAATCTGTCAAAAAAACAATTTTTTTTTTAAATTTTCAATGTCGTTTAGGAACAATGTCGTAAGCCGAATAAAAATGATCCAAATTTATATCATGTCGTAACTCAAAATGTCGTATTAGAAGATGTCGTATCTCGAGGACTTAGTGTATATTCAAAAATCTTTAAATTTTAATTGATTAATTTCAAAATTGATTTAACTAGATAGGTTCTGTGTCAATTTCAAGATTGATTAAAAGAATACAAGACAAATGACAGATTTATACTGAATAAAATTTTTATTCTATATAAAATTTAGATTAATAATATTTTGTAACATAAATAAAAAATATTAAATATATAATATGTATGCATGTGTGTTTAATTTCATTTTCAATTTTAACAAACCTATGTTGTATGCAATAATTTATTAAATGCGGCATAAGACGATTCTAAATCGAATAAAAATTGTCTGACTTGTGCATCACTCAGTTCATCAGATGCCTGCATTTCATTTAAAGTGGCTAACCAATTTTCTACTTTTGCTTTCGCTTCAAAATCCTCTGGTATTAATGATAGTCGATTCATTGTATCAACCAAATCTTTTAATTCAAAATGCAATTCATCCATTGTTCTAATTTTTAATCTCAATTTATCCATTATTGTTATAAATAATGAAACTATATCAGCAATACATTTGCTTGTATTTCCTTTATCATCCTTTATTGTTATAGGTCGATCCTCTTTAATGCGTTCCATAGCGGCAGGACAATCTAATCTAAATTTCTTTACAAAGGCATCAACATTTGGAAATTCTTCACTTTGTACCTGCTTAAAGGCTACTTTATATTGAACAAGTAATTTTGAACAAGCTGCTGTATATTCTTGAGCTGATATAGAATCCCAAATATAAGCTTTCTCTAAATTTTGTAATGTGTTTATTAAAGCATATAAATCAGCCTAAAAAATAAGGATTTGTAAAAATATTGAACGTAAAAAACTGTACCAAGTTTACCATGTTATCATATTTTTCACGTTCTCTTGCATTTCGAAAAAGTTTAACTTCTTCGTATAACTCTGGACGATTATCTTGCATTGCTGATAATACTTAATTGAATGTCTTTATTAATTACTTTGAGCTTTTAATAAAATTTTTATTTTTCTTTGATATAAAAAAAAAACAGTGAAAGAAAATAATGACGCATAGGTTAATGTCAAAATATCCCAACAAACTTATTGAAATAAATCTACAACGACGTAAATTTTTGAAGCATATTCACAATGCTCAATGTGTTAGATTATCGAGCAAATACTTTTCCATATAGAACATACTTATTTAGGTGAAAATATCAATTAAAATTTCAAAACATTCGATAACTAGTATAGACATCAAATTTAGTTTAATAACAAGCTAAATTTTATGATTTTATTTAAATCAAAGCCATGAAAATTAGACATTTCTGTTCGCGATAACTTGTTTTAAAACTTCCTTAAATTTTATCATGAAAATTGATCAAATAACAGTTAGAAATTATAAAATATTTCAGACATTAATTAATAAAAATGTTTTTTGTTTCACTTGTAAATTGAGAACTTTTGTAATTTCAAAATTTTAGTGGTATGCTAAATTATTTTAGATAAAAAAATTTAAGAAATGTACGAAGAACTTATGAAATATGAAAAAAAACTCAATTTCTATTTATAAATAAAATTGAAAATTAAATTTATGCTTTTAAGCACCATTTTTTGATACTCAGGGTTTTTCATAGTTTTTAAATAATTTTTTATTATTAAAAATTTTATGAATAAATTTGTGTATGATAGTTGGTTATCTCAATAAGCGTCCATCTGAATTTCATATTTCCTATTAAATAAAATCTAATAAAAAACGTTTGATGCTAAAATATTATAATATAGGGATTATAAATTAATTTTTAAAATTATCCAACGATGCAATGTAATTGTGAATGGTAATTGTGAATCACAGAAAATTGAATTTTGAAAAAGAAATGCCGATTTTACATACAAAAAAAAATGGTTGTCAAAAAATTACTTTTCAATAATTTCAATTCCAGTTATTCCCGTACTTTCATATGCGTTCTCAGCGCATTTTTTTTCGTCAGGTACGATAGTATTTTTATAAGATTTTCTGTCTTTAATTTTGGGTAAAAAAATTATTAAAAATTATATAAAATATTAAAATTTACTTCAAGCAATAGTTGTTTTATAAAAGTGAAATTATTTTTTCATATTAAATCAAAAATCTTAGTTTATAGATTTCTTTATAAAAAGTAATCGTCATACCCGTAAAAATGTCGAATAGCGATGTCCCTTATCCGCACCATAACCGTTTTGATTTGTTGAAATTTATAGTGAAAAGTGTTTAATTTTTTTTTTTTTACATAAATATAGAAATGGCGTCTGGCTGTATATGAAACGATTGGCACATGGTTTATGAAATTTTAATAGATTTATTTACTAAAATAATCAAAAATTTTGATGCTTTCAATTAAAAATTCATTTTAAATTTATTATTAAAAAGATAATTTATATAAAAAAGTTAAAAGTAGTAGGTATATAAAATTTTAATATTGAAACTTCTAATTTTGTACGATAGAAAAAATTGCGGTCTCATTAAAGAAAAAAAAAACTATTAAATGCAAGCGATTTCTCTGCTTTAAATTTTTTAGTTGATGAGGTTTGATAAACTAAAGAACAAAGAAGAAAGTTTTAAAAAAATTTTTCTTCTATTTGTAAGACTTTGTTGTTAGTTCCGAAAATTTCAGTTTGTGAACATTTTCTTTGACAAATAATTAGAGTTTTGAAAAAGAAAACTTATATTTTTATTTTAATCTAAAAATTTAATCTAGAAATTTTTCACCTATTCAAAGAATTAAAAAAAATGGTGATTATTTAAACATATATACATAATATTAATATTTTAAATGTAGGTACGTGTATGTATGTTTTAAATTGAATCACCGGTTTTTATCCATTGATTAATCGGTGTAAATTTTAAAAGTTAATGAACTTGGCCCATTTCATATAATATATTCGTGTACAAATATAAATAGGAAAATATTTTGAATTTGAACTATTTAAAAACTTTCATAAAAATTGAATAATTCTTTTTTATTTAATTATATTTTATAAATTTTAATTTTGAATAAATAATATTTCGGTAAGAACCAATTAATACTTGGCTAGATATGATAATATAATTATGTATATACCCACGCATATACTTATCTTGTTAGTCAATTTTCTTTATAAAAAACTAAATTAAATTTCTTTTAATTTTTCAAATTATTATTCAAGATATTTTATTATTTTGTAAGTGATTTATTAATATATTCTACATAAACAATTTCATTAAAATTAATTATTTTGTTATTGTTTGCTGAAATATTTCAGAAGGTAGGCAAGGGGTTATTCACATTGTTTTTAAGATTTAATAACAAAAAATTTAGACAACTTCAATTCTTGTGATTTTTAAATCATATGAAAATTATAATTTGAATACCTAGATGAAAATAGAAAACACATATTACAATTTCCAAATCTTACCTAGATTTTTTTAAATTCTATTACGCACTTTTATAAAATAATTGTCGCGAAAGCTTTATCATTCAATAAGTTTTCGTTATATATTGAAAATTTTTCGATTATTCATGTTTTCTTTTTTTTTTTGTATTTTAGAAATTAATCTTGTAAATACAGTGTATATATAATAAATCATGAGCACACAAGCACGATCATCGGGCGGTGGCGGCCGGAACCAGAAGAAGACAAACAGTGTCAGTAATAGTACTGGTAGCGGAGGTGATTCAACATCTGTTAATAATAAAAAAACAGATTCAAACAAACCAGAAAAAGAGAAACCACAACAAAAAGTATAATTCATTTTATTTGTTTTAAAAATTATTTGATTAATTTTTACTGTTTATTATTTTAGCCGACAGCTGAACAGATGCGCATTGCTCAAATAACTGATATCAGTAGTGGTAATGAAGATCCAAAAATGCGCGAAAAAGTAACAACTTTAATTGAGATGACGCAACGGTCAGAAGAAGATGTTTGTTGTGCATTGTATGAGTGCGATAATAATTTAGAGAGGGCTGTTGTATTTCTTTTAGAAACGCTTCCAGTGGTAATTAACTATTTTACTTGTATTTAATTTTACCGACACTAAAATATTGAAATTTTATATCTAAATTTTATTGTTTGTGTTATTATATAGAATGCATTCGAAACATCGTCAAAAAAGAAAAAGAATCGTGTTGCAACTACAGGAAACGAAGCTGGAGGTGATGGGGATTGGTCTGTAGATAGTAATGCAAATACAGATAAAAAAGAAAAAACAAGAAATCGTAGCAGTAATAGAGGTGGACGTGGCGGTTCTGATAGCCGAGGATGTAATTAATAAGCTTTAAAAGTAGTTGACATGGATTATATACGTATTTTTTTATTATTATAGGGCGTGGAAGAGAAGCTCGTGAGAATGATCGTAATGCAGCCGGAAATGATACAAGTCGAGACATTAATCGCAATGAAAGTAGTGGTGGATGGCGTGGTCGCGGACGTGGAACCGGAAGAGGAAGCTTCGGTGGTCGTGGTGGTAGAGGTGGTCGAATGGGTCCGAGGGGAATGGGATCGAGGGATGATCGGGGAAGCGGGAGAGGTTATTCTCGAAGGGATCAAGAGCCTCCTCAGGAAGTGGATACTTGGGACAATACAATAGCCCAAAATGCAGAAAAACAACAGCAAATGCAGCAACAAGATGATGCTTGGGGTGATTGGGATAATGAAGAATATGTTGGTTCACTTAAAGACAGCAAGGTGTTTACAACAAGTAATTTGCAAAATACTACTTCGAGTATAGTTGCTGGAAATATTGGAACTAGTATTACAGGCGGTGGCATTGCGTCCGAATTGTCAGCGCCCCCTGGTTTAGAGCAGCACTTAAATAATTCTGCCCAATCATCAAACTATGCTACTGATGATTTAGTTCAACAGTATAGTACAACTGTGGTGTCAAGCACTGCGACGGCGGGATCAGTTGCAGCCGCGACCGGAAATCTCGTTGGAAATGTTGTGAATCCAGTGCAGTTTCCGGATATTCATTCAGCGAATCCCACTTCTAATCAGCATTTACGTGGTCTGACAGGTTTGGATGCCGCAGCGGCTGCAGCTGCACAGCAGTTAAAATCTGCCACACTATCAGCAGAACAATCTCAGTATTTTAATTCTTTATCAGCTCAAAATGCTCAGAGTCAGCAACAGCAACAAGTGCAACAACAACAATCGGTTGTTAATTCCTATACAAATTCTGGTAATGTGCAATATGCAAATACTTATGGGAATGTATTTAGTGATCAAAGTGTGGTAGCAGCATCACAGCAACAACAACAGCAAGCTCAACAAAATCAGCAACAGACATCAGTTAGAAGAACTCGTGCTAAAGTTCCTCCTCCATCTAAAATTCCATCATCTGCAGTTGAAATGCCTGGTGATACTTTAAATAATATTGGTTATTTAGATGTGCAATTTGGTGGTCTAGCATTTGGTGCGGAAGACTCTTTTGATACGATAACTGATAAATTTAATGCAGCTACTACATTAGATAGTCAACAAAATGTCAACCAAGATGTTGCAAATGATTATCAGTCAGTGAAACAATCAGCACAGCAATCTGCTCTGTCGGCAGCTGGTTTACAATCTTCACAAATCGTAAATCAATTTATCTTATTTCAATTTTTCTATATTTAATTCTTAAAAATAATGTTTTTATTTTAGAATGATAATTTAACTTCAACGTATTCTCAAAGAGCATCTGCAAATGTTCAACAAAATTCCAATGTTGCATCTATGAGTTCGACCGCTACTAATGCTTTAGATCAATTAACTAAGAATGATCCGTATGTAACTTCAACAAACACGACTGGCAATCATTTGTTACATCCAAGTTCATATAATTCCAATCAATCTACTAATAAAGGTACAACTGCGTATCAATCATCTGGTGCGAATCAAGGTTACAGCAGTTCAAGTTATGCTAATACGCAAGTAAGTATTATTTTATTAATAATTACGAATTCCTAACTATAGAGAAACGAGAATTCATGGTGTTATCTTTATATATAACGTGTGATATTAAAACAAAATATTTGTTGATGTTTTGTAATTGGAATTTAAGAAAATTATCGCTTTGCCATTTATTTAATTTTAATTACAATTTGCATTTTTTTGAAAAGTAGTTATAAGTAAGATTAATTTTATTGAAAATTAAATAATCCAATAATTCAACTTTTGATAAATGAAACAAAAAATTGATTTAATTTTCATGTTTGATATTTTGTTATTACTTACACGATTATAAAAAATTTTGTGTCAAATTTGGCATATCGAACTTTTTATAAAAATACATTTTATGTTAGATTTTCAGAATGTTAACCATGTTGTATACACATTCAAAATATTTAGAAAATTGTTGACATATGCATATTAGCTTAATTATACATTATACAAACAAATTTTAGGTTTCATCTGGAAATAGCTATCAACCTTCAGCGAATTCATATAATTCATATAACCAAAATTCTGTCAATTCGTATCAACAACAGTCGACTGGAACAGGAAATAATACATCCAGTTCTGTTGTTAGTGGTGCTGTAAATAGTGGAAATTCATCACAAAACATTCCTGTCGGAGGAAATAGCAATTCTGTTAATAATTCAAGGTAATTCCTTTTGATTTTATGCGTTTTGTATTTTGTTTATTCTGTTTCGTGTTCCAAACATTTGCGTAAGACAAATTTTTTTTGTACTTGTTTTTTTTTTTCATTATTAACTCACATTAAGCATATCAAATTCAATATTTCTTTGTCTTTGTTTTGAGTTTTTTTTATTTTGTAAATTATTAATTTAATAATAATAATTAATTTCAACATAAAAATACAAAAAAATTAAATTAAAATTACACAAAAAATTTCCTATCATAACATTCTTTATTTTTTTCGTTTTTTTTCGGTTTTCTAATTACTAATCGTAATATTAAAAAAAAAACAAATACATAGTTCTAACACAAACAGTGGATATTTATCTAGCCAGTACCAAAGTAATCAGACAACATCAGCGTTTCCAACTCAACAAAGTGCATACCAAAATAGTCAAAGTGTATATGGAGGTACTGGAGGTCTCTCTAATAGTTCAGGGTAAGTAAATATAATTATTAATATTTAAATTCAGTATTTTAATATGTAAGTAATCAGATTTTTTAATCATAATAATTATTATGCTTTGTTTTGCTTTTCATAACACATTTATTCAAAACAAAATAGTTATTACCTATAATTCAAAATAAAATTTTAAATCATATTTCAATAAAACTTTATTTTGTGATTTATTAACACTTTTTTCATTTTTTTGGAAGTTCAATTCCAAATACTCTCCATTTTTCTGAAGATAACAAAAAGAATATATTATATAAGAATATATAATTATAATTATTTAAGAATATATTTTATTTTTATTATTATAATCGTTTGATAGAAAAAGAATTGTTTTTTTATTTTCTCATCACTTTCATTAATTACTTATGTTAATTCCATCACACTATTGAATGTAAATGTTTATTTATTTTCATAAACTTATAACAATGTGTGTGTTTAATTTTTAATCATAATTTTGTTAAATAATTCTTGAATGAATTTTGTGATTTCAAAAAAAATGTATTGTGTAAAATCAATCAAATCATTTCAATCGAATTTTGAAACAATAAGTATAAAAAGTATGTATTATGTATTTATAAAAATTAATATTTAATTATATTTGGTCAAATATAATGTGAACTGTTTGATTGTTGTAAACTGTCGTTCAATTAAGCAAGCAACAGTGATTAATAAATTCTTTAATAAATTCTCTAATAATTGTCTAATAAAGATTTGATTCATTCTAAAATAGCTGCTTTTTATAATAATGTTAATAATTCATAAAGAATAACATAAAAAAAATTATGGACAGAAAATATAAAAAAGAATTTTAACTTTATTTTTGTTTTTAAGTTATGGCTTAACTAAATACGTTAATTTTTCTAATTAACTTGTTCTGCACTAATAAAAAATGCATTATTAAAAAAAATAATCTAAATATCTTAGGTATAATACCGGTAATTCAAATACATCATCGACACAATACGGTAATTTCAGTAGTTCTAAGTTAAAGGAGACTTCGACTTCATCGAGTTCCCATTATGACAGGTGAGCAAACATTTTATTCGATTATTCTTTCTTTTTTTAATTTTTAAATTTTTTTTTATTTCTGTGACTTATATACATATATATTTTTTTTGTAGTAAATTTTAATCATTGTAATTATGTATTTTATTTATTTTGCATGTGCTTTTTGCTATTTGATCAATGTAAAATAATCATTCAATATTAATTAATTTCTTAATAATTAATTTTAAAAAGATAATCATGTTTCATATAATATTTATAATTATGAAAAAAAAACTAAATATTGCTAGCAATATAAATTTTAAATTGTATCGGATTTGCTGAACAATTTCCTCAATAAAAGCAAATGATAGCTATCAAAAAAATTTAACATTGCTGTAAAATCTATACTGAATATATAAAGTTTTACTAAGTTAATTAAAATTGTTTCAGTAATTGGTATTTTTTTTCTAATTCAAACCATAACTAAATTTTCTCAGAATTTTTAATATATCAATTTATAAATCATTTGTTTTACCGAATAGAGTTCATTTAATAACTCTAATTGAATTTATCATCCAAAATCCCTAAAAACATGAATAAAAATGTTGTAAATTTAGAAGAATTATCTATACATTAGGGATTAATTGATTCTCATGAAATTTATCAATTTCCAATATTTCAAGTTTTTTTCGCTTTTTTATAATACAAATGTAGTTTTTATATTTACATATTAATTTTTATATACTTTTTATATTTTTAGTGTATCAAATGTGACATCAAGTAGTGTTAGTAGTACTGTTAGCTCTGTATCATCTTCAGTTGTTACATCAAACGCAAACAATAGCATGAACTCAACGGCATTAAGTGCATTAGCAAATGCTTCCAATAATGCAAGTAATAAAGTTCAAACAAACTCATCATCATCAACGGGTGTATCTGGTGGCAATAGTGTAACTGGTAGTGGTGTTAGTAGCGGTACTGGTGTAACTGGTGTTAGTGGAAATAATTCCACAAGCAGTAGTGCAAATAAAAATAGTAGTAATGCAAGTGGAATGGTACCAAATATACAAATGGTTAGTCAATATATTCAGACTGGAATGCCATATTATCAGCAGCCTGCAGTTTATTCATACGAGGAAGTTCAAATGATGCAACAGAGAATGCCTCATGTGGTGAGTTCGTGCTCTACCTCAACTTGTACTTGTAAATAAAATGAGAGAAAAGAGAAAAATAACTTTAATACTACTTTTTTACATTTTTTTTGTATAAAATTCAATTTTGTTTTCTTATGTTCAAATTTTTGTGTTCCTTTTTAAATAATTTAAATTTTAGTTTTGTTAAAACTTTTGTTTTAATTTCTAAATCAAGAAAAATTATTAATTTCTTTTTTCAAAATTAAAGAGAATATTTTTAAATTCTATTGATTAATCGTTAAAATTTAATGAAAAACAAAAGAAAAAAAGGAATACATAATTTATGTTTTTGTTTTGCATCATTTTACAATTATTTTACAAGTGCACAGAATAATTTTAACATAAACTTAATAACTTCAAAATCATCATTTACGCATTCCAAATTTACTAATAAACTGCATTTCTGCATTTTTTTGTTTTAATTGGTTAAAAGAAGAAACTAAAAAAAAAGAATGAAGCATTATATGTACATAACCATCATCAAATAATGTGAACATTAATTTTTATTTTAAATTTAATATTATGGAAATATTTCTTATAAAAATATTTTAGGCTCAATATTATGATATAAATTATCCACCAACAAGTTTAAGTGCAGCTGGAGTCAGAGATGCTAGTTTAGGGTCAGTAACATATTCAGCAATGACGGATGGTCGATTTACAAGAACTGATAATAATTCGAGTCCAGTTAGTAATGTAAGTATATCATATACAATAAAAGTAATGATAATATACTTCTTATCATTATTAATAATTTATTATCATCGTTAAAATGATATAATTAAGTTTAATTCTTCAATTCATGGAAACAGTTGAAGGCGAAATGTGAAGTTTTCTTGGCTAGACCTTGTGAACTTTTTAAAATAATATTAAAAATTAATTTTTATATTTTATAATTTTAGGTTTCTAGCACAATGTCACAACCTTCTGGGCCAAGTGGCCAAATGTTGAATGTTAACGTTCCTTTCTATTATCATTATGGTGGAAATGTTATGCCAACAGGTTTTCAAGCATATGGAAATATGACACCCGCTATTTATCCTGTAAATAATATTAATCCTTTTTTTTTTGTATTAAAATTGAATTTTATAAACTCTTTTTTTTTTTTTTTTTTTTAATATATTTAGCAACAAATTCCAACTGCAAATGCAACATCTGGGGGCCAATTCCCAAAACCGTCCTATAATAGTGGTTATGGCTCAGCAAATTATGATGCATTAACACAAGCTGCATCACAGGATGCATATACAAAGGGTGCTTATCCAGGTTCTGGTGTTAGTCAACAAACAAAATCTCAAAATGTATCAAATCCGGCACCAACTGGATCAGGAACTGATATTACTTCATCTATTTATGGAAAAAGCCATGTAGCTTTAAATAAAGTCAATGTATGTTAAACCAAAAATATTGAATAATTTTTATTATAAAATATATTTTTAATGTTGGTTTTTTTTTTGAAATTTTTTTATGTAGTCATACGAAAAACAAAATTTCCATTCAGCTACACCACCACCTTTTAGCCTGACGGGAACACAGACTGCTGGAGCAACATCTGCTCAACCATATGGAATGTATATACAACCATTGGCTCCACATAATATGAATATGCACCAGCCAATTCATCAGGTAGTTTCATAAAATTTATTTTTAGTTTGAATTTTTTTTTTTTTCATTTTAGTATTTTTATTTTAATACTTTTAATTATTTTTTTCTATTGAATTTTTTTTTTTTAGTCAAATAGTTTTAATTTTAAATAATGAAAGGTCGAAAAAAAAATTTAGAACAAAATGAAAAAATGTAAAGTTTTGTTAGCACATACCATAGCCTTTTTGTATCCCATATAAATAACGCATGTAAATTTACTATATTTTAATTCTTAAAAAATTAAAATAATTAGTTTTTACCTTTATATTTCAAAATTTAATTATCTACTACAACTTTTTTTTTTTCAAAATTTCGTGTTTCATTTCTTTGACAAGCTTATCTATTGTTTTTTTTTATTTTCTTTCTTTTTCTTAGTCATTTGGTGTTGGTGCAAGGAAGTAGAAGTATAATAATAATAATATTATAACATTTAGAAAAAAAATTTAGTTTATAAAAAAAGAAAAAAATATTTTTTTTTTTTTAATGAGAAACTAAAAATAAATTGATTGCAATTTGATTATTATGTTAATATAAATATTTATTTATAATACGTTTTATTATAAAATGTTTTCCTATTAAAATTTAAAATTTATATACAACATAACGAATGGAACGTTTCGAATAAAAATAAAATATTTCCGGCGTGATAATTTACACTGCCAAAATCGCTAAATTTATTTTGATAATTGAATCGCTAAATTTATTTGTGGCACTAAGCACATTAGTGGCCCATCCAAAATTTTTGATTTTAAATTTCATGTGAGACACTAAGCATATTAGTGGCCCATCCAAAATTTTTGATTTTATAAAAATGAGTTATTATATTCAATAGAGCTATATAATGGCCTAACTAAAGAATTGTTCTATATTTTCAAAATACTTAGTTTACTCTTCTTTTTACTCTATTTTGACATAAGTTCGTTTTTGCGTTTTTAATTCGAGTATTTCAATCGCTATTTACTCGAAATGTCATTTTTGCAAGTAGGCCACTAATGTGCTAAATCGTGCCTCATATATCCAATAAAAGTTAAATTTTTTTGAAACCGATTCTATTTTATTTGAATGATAATATTTTTCAACTCAATCAAAATTCATTATTTCAAAATATCACAATGAAAAGGTCATTTTCATCTTTAATTTATTGTTAGTTAAATCGAATACTTAGCAATTTTTTTTTTTTAAATTGAAATTTTGGCATAGGTTTTTAAATTTAATTTTGATATAGATAAAAAGACGAGGATAAACAGTTTTTTATTCTTTGAAATTTATTTTATATCTTTTTACTAAACACATAAAATTTGATTTATGCATGTGCATAATCTTGCATTGTTCGAATAATATTACATTTTAATAACAAACTCAATACTAATTTAAAAAAAAAAATAATATTCATTAAATGAAATTTTGAATAATTAATTTTATAAAAATATTTTAGTCATTTCTGACATTCTGATATTCGTAGACGAATTATGAGCTATTAGTTATTATTAATAACGAAAAATAAAATCACGTTGGAATTTGCTTTAAATAAATGGATGGCTTAATTTGAAAGAAACCTAAATCGATTTGCAATTTCGAAATTGTTTTCCTTTCCAATGCAATGAAATTATCAATAGTTTAAATTGAAACTTGTTTATTTGGATAGGAAAATAAACGTACTATTAAGCAAATAAGTATTATTACTAATATTTTTAGTAATTTTTAGCTCAAATAGTACAATATTTCATTTTTATTTTAAATGAACTTAGCTTACTTTTAAAATAAACCATCCAAATGTCATTATGTTGTATTAAATTTTTTTACACAGAAAATTTTGTTGTAATTTTAAAAATTATTTTATTTTTTATTTAAATGATTGCAAAACTTTCGCTGCCGTTTTTCATTAAAATAATAAAACATAAATTTTTTCATTAATATAATCAATTAATTAGGTTTATAGAAAAAAAAAATATATTATAAAATAAATATATTCACTTTATGATATTAAAATTTTCATTATCATTGTACATTTGATATTTATATATAAATTTTAAAATTAGTTAGGAATAAAAATTAAAAAAATAAATCAATAAAAAATAAAGCTTAAAAATTTTATAAAAAAAAAATTTAAATTAAATTTTAAGAATAAAACAAACAAGTTAAACAAAATACAAAAAAAGTAAAATGAAAGAAATTACAAAATTTATTATTATTGCATGCATTTTTTTCTGTTTTTGGTTTTTTTTATATTCGTTCGTCTTAGATGGACGGCAGAATTCATAATTCATCACGTCGGGTAAGTTTTGAGTTAAAAAAATATTACAAGAAAACATTTTAATATTTGTTTATTTTTTTTCTTTGTTTCTGTTTAGTTTAATTATGTTTTAATAATATAAAATTTAGGTTTTCATTTTTTTTTTTCTTTTTTAATTTTATAATTTTTGTTTGTAAATTAAGCGAAAATGTAGGTGATTATCCTTTAAAATATTTGTTAAGTGGTAATTTTTTTTTTTGTTTTTAAATGTAATTTTCCAATTAAATAATAAAACATTATTATTCTCAAGTAGAGAAACAATAGATAAATAATTTCTATAAAAAATATTTTTTTTTTTTTCAAGAAAATTCAATTGGTTATTTTTGTAATATAAGTTTAAAATGTTCGTCCTTAAAATCGAATTAATATGAAAAATAATTAATAAAATTCAAAAGAAAAATTTAATTTTCTAAGGATCAAAAAATTATTTAATGTTATTATTTACTGGTAATTGGGTCGATATTTTTTTTAATATTAATTTTATTACGTTAATAAAAGTTTTGTATTATTTTAGGAATAACGAATAATCATTAATAATCTCTTAACATTTGGCATATTTTATATACTCAATAATACTTTTGTATACCTTTAAATACTAAAATAATATTCGGTTTATTATTTAAACAAAATATTTTTGTAATATTTAATAGAATACATTAAATAATTTAAAGAATTTTTAAAATTTTAAGTAAATTAATTTGGAATTCTTCAACAATAATATTATAAAAAAAACCTTATTAAAATCGCATTAAATTTATTTTATTAATTGCGTTTACGTTTAAAATAAAAAATTTTTTAAGTTTCAATTTCAGTTTTCGTTGCCTGCTTTTTTGTCATTATGCAATTGAACAAATGTAATTTAAATTGTATGGGCATTGAAATAATTTGACAAAGTTTTAGATTAAAAGAGTAAAACAAAAAATTTTAAATTTTTTTACCTATAATAAACTTTAAATTAATAGGAGCTTTTAATTGAAATTTTACGCTTTCAGTTCCGCTTTTATTTCTTAATGTCTTGGTAAATTTAATAATTTAATTTAATAAGTAATTTTTATACTTATATTACTGTATTATACTTAATATATATATATATAAGTATTTTTATATAGTTTTGAGAATATATATATGTAGATTTTATTATTAATATTTTTGAGGTTTTGAAATTTTGTTCTTGTATTTTTTTTTTGTTTTATTATGTTTTAAATTTAAATGTTGTACTTATTATGTAGTTAATTAGTTTCATAAAACTTTGTAATAAATCTACTATTTTTTTTTCAGTTAGTAATATTTTAACATTAAAATTTAATTAACATTTATTTAATTTAATATTTAAACAAATTCAAATATTAAATTAATTAAATATAAAATATATAAAATATAAATAATTCTACTTCCTTTCTAAAATAAATTTTCTTTTCAATCTTAATTTTTATAAATTTCTTAACTATTTACTATTTTATTTTCAAAAATTATTAAAACATTTTTTATCTTTTTTTTTTTAAATTTTTGATAATTTTCAATGCAATTAAATTAATATTTAATTTTAATAATATTAAAAATAATAAATGAAATTGATTTAGGGTTAAAAAAATTCTGTATGATTTAAATTTAATTAAAAAATACCTTTGATTTTTTGTTTAAAAGGATTAGCTCTTCTATCACATTTCTATTAGATTAGGTCACATTTTTATTAGGCACTAAAACGCAATTTTTTACTATGCGTGTTCCAACTAAAAAATTGTAATATTGAAAGTTAAATCCAGCATCTAAAATATTTTATTATTCGTTTAAACTTTAGTTGTTCTATGTCAAGAAACAAAATCTTCACTAGTCAAAATGTCCTCAAAGTTAAAAAGAAAAATAGAGGTCTTGTTTAAGTTGTTAATTTTATTTCTATTATAACGTTAAATTTAATTTTAATTTATATTCTTTAATCTTTCAATTTTTTCAAAAAAATTTAATTATTTCACCAGATTTATTTTACCAATTCAAAATTTATATGCAAACTTATATTTTATTGCAAATGTAAAAATTATTTATTTTGTTTTTGAGGAAATTTTTTTTTTATAATTCCCTTTTTTTTTATTATTGTAATTGTTACCGTCGTTAATCCTAGTTATTACCGAAAGAAAAAAATGTTGTATTGTTAATTTTTTGTTTTTTTTTTTTTTTATTTATTTGTTCTTAAATTTTTGTAATTGTATATAATAAATTATAAACTATACAAAATTTTTATATTTATAATTTTTTTTTTTATAATTTTTATATTACAGGATTCAAATAGTACTGGACAGCGTCAACAAACATCTACTCAAAGTAAATCAGCAACAAAACAAGGCTATTCACCTTCATATTGGACTGCACAGAATTAAAGAGAAAAAAAGAAAAAAATTTATATTTATTAATTAATAATAAATACTAAAGTACATAACTAAAGTAAAAAATAAATTTAAAATTCTTATTATATATACACACACAAAAAAAAAAATAAATAAATAAATAAAAAAAATATATGCATGTATACATGAAAATAAATATGTAAATATGTGTATATATTTATTTGAGAATGAAATATTATATTTCTTGAAAAAGAAAAAAACCGAAATATATAATGTGTATATATATATATAAATGTATGTAAAAATAAATAAATAATATCATTGTGCTATGAGCAGTAAATTTTACAACAAAATAATTATTACAAAAAAAGTAATTGTTATAACAAACTTAATAAAAAGTATGTTCTTTTGCTATATAAAAAAAAACAGAAAGTTCATTTTAATTATAATAAATAAAATAATATTGAAAGAAAAAAAATTGATAATGTTTAAATTAAAAAAAGAAAAAAAAAACATCAATAAAACAATAAGAACAAGAAATATAAGAAAAAAAAAAACATTATTTAAATAAATTTAAAATATTTACTACATTAAAAAAAATCATACAGATAGAAAAATTATATCTGGAAAAGATGAGGTGAGGTTATTTATGCAAAAAAAAAAAAAACACATGAAAATTTATATAATAATTGTACATGTATACATACTTAAAATGTTACGCAATTATATGTACGCATATATATATGTATATATATACAAATATATTTTATATAATATAAAACAAATAAGTAAATTAAAAAAAAAATACAATAAATAAATTTTTTTTTTTTTTATTTTGTACATCAATTTATGGATGTATATTAAATTTTATAACAAAAAATAAATAATAAATATGAAACTTTAATTAATTAATTAAAAAAAAATATATAATTGAAAATGTAAAGATGAAAACTAAATTTAAACTCATGATTTATAAGAAAAGAAATGAGATCGATAATTTATTAAATAAAAAAAAAACAAAAAAAATAATTATTGTGAATCCAATCATAATTTAGAATTAAAATTTATAATTATTTTTATTTTCTTTTTTTTTTCTTTGGTTTAAAATAAAAAAAAAAAACGAAGAAATAAAAAGCTGGTTTTATCAAAAAATACACAATTATTTTTTACATGATATTATATTACAAATAATTTTTAATAAAAAAAAAAGAAGGAAAAGAAATAAATTTTATGAATAAATTAACAAACTTTTAATAATTAAAATTGCAAATATTTAGTAATTAAGTATATATATATATATATACGTATATGTGTATAAGTACACATGTTTTTTTAAAAATTAATAATAAATTTGTGCTTTTTTTTTAGTTAATTATTTTTATACAAATGGAAAAACAATTTGTATAGTTTAAAATTATTTTTTTTTTTCTGTTTCATTATAATCATTATGATATCAGATAAGACTTTATATATTTCTACTATTTTTTTTTTTTTATTATTCATTTATGTCTTTTTTTTTTTTATTTCCTAATGTAGTAAAATAAATAGTGGCTTTATAATATATCACGGATTCATTTCAAATTGAAACGTATACAAATACACAAAATAATTTTAATGTAATTTCATTAAAATGACGAAAAAATAATATATATTTACTGTCAAATTTCTGAAAACAAAAAAAAAAAAATATGTGCTCTTATGCAACAAAAATAAAAAATTGATTTTGATAAATAAAAGTATTTTTCATTAAATATTTAAAATTTATTAATTTTTACAAATTTATTAAAATTTTATAAAATAAATTTGTTTAATTGTTCAATATATATATATAAACTAGGAAATTTGTCAATTTGTAGAATTCGTGATTAATATCTGATTAAATAATTAATTTTTTTTTTTTAATAATTTAATAATTAATGTATAAACATACACTTTCACATAACATTTTATTAAAAAAATTAGGTATTAAAAATAGAAAACAAAAATTCTAAAATAGTTATTTTAGTTTTTTTTTAATTATTAAGAATTATTTGTAAAAATTTTTGTAAAAATAAAAGAAAATAAATTAAAGCTGGCAATTTTATTAAAAAAAAATTTTTTTCATGTTATATTTTTTCACTTTTATTTTCACAAACAATAAAACATATTTCTTTAAGAAGTTATGGAGAAAAAAAAAAAACCAAAAGAACGCAAAAACTTAAAAAAAATATTAAAATAGATTTTTATATTTTATAAAGTTTTTGTTTTTTTCTCATAAAAATAATTAATTTTCAAATTATAATTCTAATTGAAATAAAAGCAAAACACAAGATTTTTTTAATATTCTTAATCATGTTTCTAAAATTCAAATTAAAAAATAAATAATTATCGATAAATTTTCAAAATTTTTTACTATAATTAATTTAGACTTGTGTTTTGTTATTTTTACGTATTTTTTTTTTGTTTCTTATTCTTCTTTTAATTAGATTCAATTGCAATTAGTTTTGAACAAGAATTTCGTATTGAATTTGCCGCTACAATTGCAACTAAATTGCAGATTTTTTTTTCTTTTTGGCATTTACATGAAAATTTTTAAAAAATATGAATATTTAATAAAAATATTAAGAAAAAATTAACAAGTATCATGTATGGATTGTTTGTATTTAAAAATTTTTCAAGATAAAAAAAAAAACTATAATAGAAAAAAAAACTTCAATTTTTCAAAAGTTAATTTTGTTGTAATAATTTAGCGTTCATACACGTATATTAAAAGAGTTTTAATCATTTGATAGAATTGCAATTAAATTTGCTCTTAATAAGAATAACTAAAATTTTATAAAAAATCTTAAGATTCCTTTTTAAAAATTTGATTGAATTTAATTGCTTTTTTTTTTTTTAAATATTACCATTTGTCATAAGATTTTTATATTTAAATTATTGCAATATAATCAAAATTTAATTATAAATAACACAAATATTCAATCAAAAGCACTTTGTTTAATCACCTAGAAGTGATAAATTACCATTTTAAGGAATAAATTTAATTAATATATATTTTTCTATACTTGTTTTTAAAATTCTTTTTAATTCAGTTCAAAATTATTAGATCATTGCATATTGTTTTCTTCAATTTATTTTAATTTTTACATATTATTTAATATTTTATGAAAACTATTTTAATATTTTAAAAAATAATAATAAAATATTTCTTTTTACCATCTTTCTTGCCAACAATTTTCAATTATATATAATTTGCAATAGAAAAATATAAAATAAAATAGAATAGTTAAAAAAAAATTGTAATAAAAATTTTAAAATAGCAACCAAAAATTGAAATAATTTTTTTTTTAAAATGCAAAGAAAATTTTCTAATTAAGATTCCGGATAATTTATCGTTGTAATGAAATTGTTTATTGGTGTTACCAAAATATCAGGAAAGTTATTTTTTAATAATGTAAAAAAAGTGGTAACCAATTAAAATTAAAATAATTTGTTTTTTTTTTTTTTAATAATGAAATAGAGTATATTTATTTTTTAAAACTGAATCATTACAAAATAGTTAATTTAAATTCATAAATGATTTTAGTAATTATAATTATGTTAAAATAAATCATTTTTCATTTACTATTATTCAAAATCAATAAAAAAAATATACGCTAATAAAAGTTAAGTAAATAAATTATCAAAAGATAATATGAAAAATATAAAAATATCAAAATATAAAAAAAATTAAATACAACAATATATTTAATATTTAATATATAATAAATAAATTAACAAATATTTAAAAAATTAAAAATAAAAAAAAAGATTTTTTTTTTCCCAATTATCATTTTATTTTACTTTAATAAATTATTAATTTTAAGAAAAATAAATTTTAATAATAACAAAGAAACAAAAATAAATAAAGAGAAAAATCATTTATAACTATAATCAAAAAGAAAATTTAAGTATATTAAAGAAAAAAATTAAAAAATAAATAAATAAAATTTATATATTAAAAATGCATAACATTACATATTATTATTATTATTATTATGATTCTTAACTATTATTATTATGTATTATTATGATTATTATTAATATAATTATTATATATAAACTTAAATATTATTTTTTAAATTCTAATTTTTTTTTTGTTCAAAATAGAAAACAGCACGTAACATTTATATAATTATTAAAATCAATATTAACTAAAAATGAAAAATATATTAAAATATATTTAAATGAAATAAAATAGAAAAAAAAAATAAATACCAATAATAAACATTAACAAATTTTTATTTTAACATAATTTTTCATGTACATATATACACATATATATTAAAACTTTATATATATACATATATACAATATATATTTATATAGAACTCTATATTATAGAATATTTAAATTAATATAAATAATTTAAATATAAAAATTTATAAGAATTAATATTATAATAATACACATTTAAATAGAATCTGACCACACTCACCCACTCACTCTTTCTTTCTTATCCTTTTTTTTTTTTTTAAATCCATCATCCTCCATAAAACTTAAGCATTAATTCCTTCTCCACAAAAAAAAAAAAAAAAAACACCTTCATTTTTCTTTAAATCATTTAAAAATATTAAAAAATATCCCATTTATTACACAAAGATAAATTAGAAAATAAAATTACAATTTAAAATTAAAGCTAATATGTATATGTATATAATTATATATATATGATATATATATATATATATATTTATATAATATAGTATGTATATATTAAAAAGAACAAGAAATATAATAAAATTAAAAAAAAAAAAAAACAAAAAAAAAAATTGCAAAAGAAATAAAATTTAATAAAATTTTAATAATTTTTAAATTTAAATTGTAATAAAAACAATAAATTAATATAAGAAGAAACAAAAAAATTATAATAATAATAAAGAGAAAATAATTAACAACAAAAAATCTTGTTTATTTTTTATTTTATAGTAAAGGATAATAAATAAAAACAATAAATAAAATGAATGAAAAAAAAAAAAACAGAACCCAAATATGAAAAAAAATCAATATTTAAATGAAAAAGAGAAGAAAAAATTCAATGAAACACTTAATTATTAATTAAAAATTTAATATTAAATATTTTTGTGCGAAAAATGTAAAAAAAAAAAAATGAAAATTATAAAAAAAATTAATAGTTAAAAAAAAAATCAAGAAAATCTTAAAATCGGATAAAATTTTTGTAAGCGATAGGAAAACAAAATAAAAAAAAAAATTGAATATAAAACTTTAAAACAAATATGTAAAACTATATATATACAAATATAGTATATGTATATATATATATATATATATATGAAATTTTATTAAAAATTACAACAGAAAAATGGTAACATTAAAAAAAAATTAATAAAATTAAAATAAAAACAATAAAAAAGATGAAAAAACAAAAAGTGTAGGTATTTTGCAAAATTTTTCTAAAATTGAAATTTTTGCAAATATGAAAATTAAAAAAAAAAAAAAACTTTATTTCTACAGAAAAAAAAATTTTTTTCGATTTTATTCTTTAGATATCAATTTTTTCTATTATAAGTTTTCAATATTTTATTTTTTAATTTTTTTTTTAATAATATTTTGAAAAAATTTATTTTGTAATAATTTTTGTTTTACTTTAATTTCTAATACATATTTTTTTTGTTTTTTTTTTTTTGTTTAGGGTAAATACTTTAATTAATGTCTTAATTATTAGAATGAAAAAAAAATTATAAAATAAAGAGAAGTTAAGATTAAAATATTAAAAAAAAATATATATATATATATATACAGTATATACATATATATATATAAATATATATATATATATATAAAATCAAATAAAAAAATTAAAAAAAAAAATTTAAAATTATTTTTTTTTTCTTTGTTTTTTGGTCTTTATTGTATATCAAAGAAAATAAAAAAAAAAAAAGTAAAAGAAAAAAAAAAATGAAAAAAAAAAAATGAAAAATTATAAAGTAAAAATTAATAGAAAATAATAAAAATAATTACAAAAGAATCGTACTAAAAATAAAAGAAAAAAAAAAACACATTTTTATTTTTTTTTCTTGTTTTTTTTTTATTTTTTTCTTCGTTTTTCTTTTGGTTATGAAAATTAGCAGAACTGGTAGAGAAGTAGATGAAAAGAGTTCCAGAGGAAAAAAAGGAGTGAAAAAAAGAGTGTTATGGCGCCTATGCCTCTGGAAAATGAAAAAAAATATTGACCAGAACTTTCCTTTCACTGTAAATGAATGTAGTAAAAAATTTTATTTATTACTAAAAGAATCTGGAAACAGTAAAACTTATTGGAAGTAGAGGACTTTTATCTACATTTACTTCAACAAGATATTGAAATTAATAATTATAAAGAAACTTTTTCCGAAAATACATTTTTTTAAATTATGTACATAAGAAAGAATTTCTATAAATTATAGAGCCAATATTTGCTAAGTTTTGACTTCTTTCTGTAATAGAAAAATTTCTATTTGATTCCACTGATTTGTATTATGAAAGTCTACGGGGTTGACTCTAGATTAATTTCAAAGTCTGACAGATTTTGCTGATTCTAACTAAAAGTTAAAAACGAGCAGGGAAAATGGGCATATTGTCTAAAATTAATTCCATTAATTCCTTTAGAATGTAAATATTTAAATTCACAATTGATATTTGTAACAATTTAAGCAATCTTTTTCAAATTGCAGGAACCTGAAACATTGCAGGGATATATAGGGTGATAATGTTTAAATAATATTTAAGTGTTATATTCAGTTGCAGTACCGCTTAAACAAAATTTATAAAAAGCAGACATTTTTCGAGGCGCTCTCTACTTTTCCTGCGTATTTTCAATCGTTTGAAAATTCCAAACAATTTCGTCAAAAGTTTTTGAAATAAGTACGTTATAAAACATGAAACACCGCAACGAAAACGTTTTTTTTACAGTATGGAAGCAAGGCCTACTTGATACTAGAACAGTAGGGAAGTTTAATAACGCAGTGATTAAAAGTACACCGCTTCTAATTTTAAACCGAGGCCATAAATATATGTACAATTGTGTACAATATTTATTATATTTATAACATTTTTCATAATATACATATATATGTACACAATAAAATATATTTATTGCATAAATAAAAAGTGTTGGTGGATTAGGTACGTAATTTTTCATTTAATCAAAAAATTATCTAATAACTACGCAATGTAAAGAACATTCAATAATACACGTACAAATTCGCATATATTTGGTATTCGGGTCAAAAATTTAATGAAAAATTTATTATTTAGTTTTTCTTTCTAATATTTGAGTGTATAAATGATAAAAAAAAAAGAACAAACGGTTTTCCGTTTTTTACAAGTTTTTCTATTCGTTTTTAATTTTTATTGATTCATGGGTTATTCTTTGTACATTGCTTTAATAGACAGACTAATTTTAACTACAAAATATAAAATTATATAAAATAAAATTATATAAAATAAATTTTACTTAAAAATATTTTGCAATATTTTGATAATTACTTTCATTTCATTAGCCTAAAGAAAAAAAAAATTTTAGAAAATTTTATTATAAAAAAAATTAAAGTGATAAAAATTTTTTTGTCACATTTCTTTTTTATTTTATCCATACATTAATTTTGAACTACTTTACTTGCCAATGGATCAGAACGAACTAATTTTATGAAATTTAATCAAGAAGAACGAAAAGAGTTCAAATTTTTATTTTAAACGGCCTGAACTGAAATTGTTATTTTGGAAATGTTTAAATGATTTTTTTTTTTGCAAAAATTAACAGTATGTCTTTGGTACAATTTGCAAATTAATTTGCTGTTTTTTTTTATAAAGCTAAACTCTTGACTGTATATGGTTGAGTAATTTTGGAAAAGGTGAAAGTTAATAAAACCCAAAATTGAAATTGTAATTACGAATATAATTTGGTATATGTATTCTACGTGGATTGTTGTACAGTATGTGTATTAATTTTTGTTTTTGCAAAAATTTTGGAAGAATATACTTTTAGGTGTTTATGTGTATAAGTATTTGAACAAATTAAAATTTTAATTAAGTTTATTATTTAAATTTGAATAATTTTAAAGGGAATAACTGTAAAATTTAATTGGTATATGAGAAAATATTAAATTTAAACGAAAAATGTAAAAAATTATTAATTAATTCAAAATATTTTGAATTTAGCTCAATCTTTACATTTTATATTATTTACCAGAATAATGAAATTATTTATTTAAATAAATCTTATATAATTTATTCATTCCTGCCATATATTATTAATTAAAATTAACAAATAAAAATTTGTAAAAAATTTATGCTTTTTTAATGTAAGTAATAAAAATATCTTAATATTTTTTATATGCTTAATCAATTAATCAATTGATATTATCTAAGAATATTTTACAAATCACACATAATAATATTAATTTATTTTAATTGAATAAGAAATAGGTATAGTATTTTTGAAAAATTCAAAATAAGTAGTGATAGTTAGTAATTTGTTACATCATTCGTATTCTGAAAATAATTCATGCGTAGAAATTAATTAAATACAGAAATTTAATTATTAAATATAGAAATTTATATAATTTTAAAAAGAAAAATATATATAATTAATTAAAAATTTTATTAAGCTTTCAAAAGAAATTAATACACAACAGTTTTAAGAATAAAGTTTCGAAGAATTTTGTTATTAGGTGTGTGTTACACATCAAATTTAATCTATACGATTTAATTTGAATCTAATAAAAATCTAATGTGTAATCAGAAGTCTGACATCAGATAAAATCTGATTAGAAAAGTAGAAACATATTCGATTATAGTAGATATATGTAGTCTGATGTGTAACTGGCACCTTTAGCCTAGCCTAACTATTAAATAAGTTGTGTTTCATAAAATAATTTTCAAATTACATACTGTATTTTTCAGTAGACAGAAATTTCTTCATATTTAGCAAATTAACTTTAAAAATTAAAATAGAATTTATTATGGGAGTTTCTAAGTAGCTATGTCAAAAGTTTGACGATCATGTTAATCACTTGATTCGCTCAATTTTGAAAATGACAATCATCTGCATCTTAAAAATTATTTCAGTAAAGCGAAAAATTAAAAATTTCAAAATTAAAAATGTTTTCTTCGTAATTAATTTTGTAAAAATTATGCTTATTCCTTTAAAGAAAACTGAAATAAAATAACAGCTGCGTTAGCAACGTGTATTGGAATTTATGATGCATACGTCAAGTCGCATTGGAATTAGTGGCTATTTCGTAAATTCATTTAAAGTCTTACCGAATCTTATGAAGTGCATTTAGCTTTCTTAAATTAGTTTTTGTGATTTTGGTTTAATTTTAGTATTAATTTCTTTAGAATAAACTTGTTTAAGAATAGATGTGTTCATATATTAGAATGAAATAGAAATTTTATAATTAAATAAGAGTTAACATGTTGGACTGTTAATAACATTGAATTGAACATTAATTTCAAAATTTTCAGAATTATTTTATAAAATTAACTTGGAATTAAAATGTGTACATAAATTTAATAATTGCAATTTAATCCGTGTATTTGTACATACCGTAAATATTAAAGGAATGTCGCTAACTATCTAGAATAATATGGCATTTTTATAAAAATATTCAATTAATTCTTGGCCAACTCGCTTTACTATATAGTATGTTTATACCAATACAACTGAAAAAAATTATATCCATAGCTTGTTAGCTTATCCGATTGGTTTTAATCGCTGATTTATATTTTGTTTTCTTTGACTTAACAATTAACGTATGAATAAGAAATTACCTACTGTTTTCACTTTTTTAGTTTTTGGGTTTTTTCTTTATTAATAATAATTTAGACTTAATATTGTTCTGATTCATTCGGTTTCTTTTTATAATTTTTGAATAATTAAGAAAACATTATGAAAAAAAATTTGCCACTTGTTTTTTTGCTTTATTTTTGTGCTTCATGACGTGTCGGTGTTTAATTAAGTAATAAGAAACTTATGTAGTTTTAATGTGTTGAGTGTTTTTTTTTTGAAAACTTGATTTCAGCTGTTTAAAATGTAGTACTTTTTCTTAATACTTTCTAAATTAAGTATTACAATAATTAGCATGTCATGAATGAATTTATTTTTTAATCTATTTGTTCATCTATCACTCAAATGTGAATACGGCGGCGATTATCTATAAAATAAAATTAATTAAAAAAAATTTCATTTTATCACTTATTAATTTATTTCATTTTCATTTCAATTTTTTTTTCTTTTTTTAAATGATTAAATTAAGTTATAAACATTTAGGTATATATATATTTAAATATATACATATTAATAAGAATAAACACTTGGATCGAATCCTAATCCTCTAACTTGTGTATCAATCCATTGTCTTGCTAATGCTACATTTGCATAAACAGCTGGTCTAGCTTCATTACAACCGATACCCCATGCAACAATACCATTTTGTGCATAACGATTATCTGCTGGATTACCAGCAGGACAAACTAATGGTGCACCACCATCACCTTCACAGGTATCAACACCTTCAACACCGCCAGCACATACAAAAGTTGGATGTAATTGAAATGTATTACCAAGACGAGTTTTTCTTAATTCATTTTGACATGTATCAAATGATACAATTGGTAATGGAATTCTCTTCATAATAACACTATATTTTCCTTGTTTACCAAAAATATCTTTACCCCAACCGCTAGCATAACAATTTGAACTACTTGGAACACTACTTGCTGGCGGTAAGCATACAACACCAATATGGTCATCTAATGTAAATGGTGTTTGTAAAACTAATAATGCAATATCATTACCTAATGTTCTAATATCATATTGTGGATGACTTATAATATTTCGTACAACTCTTTCTTGATATGGTAAACGTTCTTTTGTTGTTTGTGTATCCCATTCACCGGCACGTACTTTAAGTGAACCTGGATTATTAACCATTTTACGTACACAATGATTTGCTGTTAAAACAACTTGTGGATGAATTAATGATGCACCACATACACAACTTTCATCAGCATTTTTTAAAATAGCTAATGTCCATGGGAATTCACCAAATCCAGCTTCATTCATTGTATTACCAGTTATTTGAAAATCAATACCACCAACATTTCTAATACCACAACCAGTTGGTCTTGTTGGTTGTGTAACTACCGGTTTAACCGGTAATGGTTTCTCACTAATTTTTTCATATCCACAACAAACATCAAGAACATCTTGACATGATTGTGAATCAAATCGTATATCAAGTAATCCAAAACCATCAATTTGTTCATCTTCATTGGTATTACCGTCAGGACTATCATTTATAACTGTATTATTACGTGGATCACATCTATGATATGGTACACAACGACATTGTACATTATCTTTAATAAAAATTTGTGGTTCTTCAGTTGGACCTAATGGTTCTGGTAAAACAATTTGATTAAAACCAGATGATCTTGATGTATTAAATATACTTTGGACGACTCTTTCAAAATCCTGTTGCTGTGGCTGTTGTTGTTGTTGTGGTATTGAATGAACACATATTATTGATAAAATTGTTAATAGAATAAATTTAATCATTTTTTAATGTAGTATGGCTATTTTTTGTTTTGTCTTTATCGCCTTAATTATGAACAGTTAAGTCGTCTACTGTTAATGAAAAACTAAAATGTTTTTTAATTCCTCTCTTTTTTTTTGTTTGGTTTCTTCGAAAAACTAAAGAGATTTTTTTTTTTGTTGAATTAAACAAATCAAAATACTTAATGTTTTTTTTTTTATTTGTATTTAATATGAAGATAACCTGCTTGAAACTGGTTATCTGTTGTTATTTATTTTTAATAATAAAAAAAAGGGAGAAAAAATAAAAATTTTTTTAAATATGTGCTTTTTTAAATAGTTGACTGCGGTTCAAATTAAGCGTCAATCTCAAGTTGTAAACGTTAACTAGCTAAGTACTTATTAATAATCAAAGACAATGTCATAACAATAATAGCAACATATTTGTAGCCAATGAAATTTAAATTTTGCGGGTAGAAAATCCCTGAATATTCTTAAATATTTTAGCAGTTATTGTGTTAAAAAAAGAAAACAATAAAAAGTATTGTCGCTTTTAGAAATGTTGCTCTGTTACTTAACACTTTATGAGTTGAAGAAATCATCGTTAATAAGGTGTTTTGAGCAAAAAAAATACAAAAACAAAAATAAAAACAAAATTATTATGAAATTACAAATATTTTATATTAAAATACGGAGAATTCATTAACAATAAGTATTAAGGTATACATAGGTAATTCAGAAAATAAATTGAGATTGACCAGACAAAAATGTACATACATATGTATATGCAGTGAGAGAATCTTCATAACAATTTGTAGTTTAACAACAGCAGATAATAAAATGATCAATGATCTTGACATTGTTGAAAAATTTTTCAAATTTCAAAGAGAATAAATCATGTTTTAGTATTTAAGTATTTTTGTCATTATCTTATAAGTTTAAATAAATATTAATTTGATAGTTAGGGGTCAAAGGTATAAGGTATAGATTAGTTGAGAAATTTTGTGATGTGTGATAGAATATAGAAGAGTGCAATAATGGAATGTGATTTTGATAGACAGGTTTGACATAATATTTATGATGTTATAGACAATTAAATAATGCAATGGTGTGATAGACAACCTTAAAATTATAATATGGGTAAAATAATTTTATAATATGTACATATGTTTGTGTTACAGTTTAATTTTTTAAAATTTTTAATGAATCATCATACTATGAAATAAAAATATTTACGAGGTTTGCATATTTAAATAAAAATTAGTTAAAATTCACATAAATTTTAAAATTTTTTAATTTTTATAAATATACAGTGGTGGACATAAAAATAAAGCCATCATATGTTATTAAAAATAATTTCGGAGAAAAACAGTATTTGCATTCTATCTTATGTTAAATATATTAAGTGTTCTTTTATGATATAAGGTTCATATTTTAAGTGACCAGTAAAATAAATCCGATATGTTTAAGATGAAAAAGGTGGATGATTGAAAATTTATTAAAACCTCAATTTGCCGCAAAAATACTCGTAGATGAGGAACAGAAAGAATAGCATACATAGGTGCTAGAAAAGTCCAATTACTGAATTCTTGAATAATCAAAAACCGTCTATAGAATTCTCAAAAAGCCATGTATTGGCATGTAGTGCGGATATGTGGAACAAAAAATGAGTACAAATATACAAATATTTTTCAGTTGCATGTAGTTAACAAAAAATTAAATTAAAAGTAGAATTGCATACCAATAGTAAATCAATGATTCTCTCTATAATAATTAATTATTTGTCATAATGTGGATAGCAAATTTTATACATAAACACACACACACATTTTCGTTATTTATGGTGTGTGTAATTATAGGGTAAACGTAATTATATATATAGCTTTTTATAATAAATAGTTATGAAATTATTACCTAATTAAGTATCTGCTAAGAATATTTTTTTTTAATTTTCTTAATTAACAATAAAATGAAAGTAATCGCGTGACGATAATATTATGACGTCATGGAACTGTTTTTTTCTGAAAATTTCTAGTTTTTTAATAGACAAATCTTATATATTTTTGTTATAAATATATATTGGTATTTAAAAAATTAAATTTTACATTATAATTTTTGATTTTGGAAAAAAAAATATGTAAATAAAATATGTAAATTATTATAAAACATAAAGATTGTGTAGAATTTTTTCGAGTTAAATGAAGTTGATAATAAGGTGAAAAGTTCAAATATAAATTCAAAATAGTCAATTGAAATTATTCGATTAGAAAAAAAAAATACTATTTTATAATTAATTCTAAATTTTGAATTTTAATAAAAGTTGATAGTAAGCTATATTTTTGGTTTTGGAAAGTAGGGGGGTCATTTGTAGAATTTGTAGAATTACATAAAAATTAGTGCATTAAAAAAGTAAGTTTTGAAAAAATTAAACATTTTTTTTAAATTATTGGTACCTACTGAAATTTGATTTTGGAATTTCAAAAAAATTTGACATATCGATATACATATTTATACATGCATATGCACTTTAAAGTAACTGTCCGAAATTTTTGTATTTTTTAAAACCAGCTTGTGGGTACTTTATGTTAAATTTTCTATTATTGAGACATTAGACTTGCCAAATATAATACAAATAAAGTAGACTCACACTTATATGAACTACGACAAAAAACGTCAGAAAGAACTCAGATAACCGAGTTGTTAATACAAGTGAAAGGGGTATTAATTAAATAGACTAATGAGACAAACATACATTAGGTATATAAAATAATTTTATATTTTTGTGTCAAATTTAAGGCAATAATTGAGGCAAACAGTTCATGTAACTAACACAGTAGTAAATATACAAATAATTGTCCATAACTGATCGTTTATGAATATTGATGTTACCGCGACTAATATTGTGCAGTACAGTATATTCAAAACTAATTAATTACAGTTTAATCCTGTCTAGAACTCCCTCAATATTTCTATATAAATAAGAAGCAATTGATTGAAAATAATACATTTTTATATAACAAGGGATAATTAAATTAAAAAAAAAACTACAAATTTTATGTGGAATAACCCATGCTTACACATTATTTTTTTTTTTCATTATACTTATGGAAAACGCATTATTTTTGCATTTATTCAATCATAGGCCTTACATATAACATGTTAATGTACTCGTATAGTTTTAAAAAAGAAAAAAGTTCTTTGATTGAACTTGTTTTAGGCTTTTTTATTTTTTCATATAAAAAATTGCGATTTTTTTTTTTCAAATATTTTATTGTCATTTTTTTGTGCATTGATGTATGTTTGCTGTATGCACCATATCAAAATTCAAGCTGTTTTAGGTGCAGTGATCACAACATTTTATCTTTTAATTTTTAAGTTTTTTTTTTTCTTTTTTATTTGTAAAAGATTGACATGACTTTAAAAAAATAATTTATATTTAAAAAAAAGTTTATACAAAAATCGGAGGTGCAGTCAAGGGCGAAACAAGTCTTTTTTTTTAGTTGCATGTATATGTATGTGTATACGTATAATGTGACAAGATACTATTATGGTTATTGGTAATGTTAAGAAAATTATTCTGAATTTGATTATTTTAAAATTTTCAGTATATATAATATGTATGTGTGTATATAAAATTCAACTTCTGAAAAGAAATTTTTTAGCATTCAGAATAATGCATTTTGTATGTATGCGCGTATCATTTAAGTGATGCAAGGCTTTATATGCATAAGTTTATTGTATTAAATTAAAGCTCGTCAAGTGTTTATTAAAATTTTTTATAAAAAAAATCCTTTTTTTTTACTTTTAAGTTGGTAAAAATTTTTTTGTGCCACACCGTTTTCAAATTTTTTTCATGCCATTTCATTATTAAAGTATAGTAAGTAAAAAATAAATTTTAAAATTAATGAAATTACGTTTTGCTATTATATTATTTGATGAAATTTTGACCTCTGTCTTGAGTATTATGGTGCATTATTACACTATGCGACTAGGCTACTTAAGTTTTACAATATTACAATACTTATTGCTACTAATATGGGTCATAGCGTAGAAGACAAAACAGTCTAACAATTATTTCATTAAATTATTTTTATTTCAGAAATTAAATGAAAATTATAAGATTGAATTTAATCCGAGATATACTTTTTTGGGATAGTTTTCAGTTATAATCTAAATTTTATAAGTGATAATTTTAATCTATAAAAATTTTTGCCCAATATTGCATTCTCTTTATTTATATAGCATGTTAGTTGAATAAAAGTTGTGGTATTAGTTATAAGGAGTATTTGTGCCGTAAACTTTCAAAAATAAATAGAATAATTAAAAAGACGAAAAGTTGTGCAACTATTGCACATTATAAGTAATTGAATAAATAACGAATTAAATTATGTATATAAATAATTCCAGAATTTACAAAAAGTCGAAACCTATTTTCGAGAGTTAACTACTAAATACTATTAGATACGAGAAATCCTGTATTAATATGTACAATATGTATAACATTTTGAAAGAGTTCAAAAAATAATCGGCCTATGAGATAAGATCACGACTTAAGAAAGATCAAAGATAATTTCATAACTGAAAAAATGAAAGTAGAAATTACCTGTTATGGTAAAACTGTAGGAGTACAAACTAAATGCTTTCTTACGACAAATTTTTGCGTTAGAAAAAAATATTGAAAAATATTCGTCGCAAATTTTCATATTTAACCAAAAAAATTACTTTTTTTTTAAATTGCTACAATTTTACTGTAATGAAAAATAAAAGTGGTTGAAGAAGATGGTAAAGCATTTGTTACTACTGTCGAAACCGAAGAAATTCCTTTGGATTTGGAAAGCCCGAATATAGACTTTCTAAAGAAAGTCAAAGAAGATGGCAAGGCAACTAAAACTAAAATTAAAACTAAAGTTATTAAAAAAAGTCAACAATTTTCTTGCGTAGTTCAATTTTACTCATCAAATGTACTAAGCTAATATTTTTCATTATACTCAAGATGTTTAAATAGAATTTAATTTTATTTTTATAATTCATAATATTATATACACATTTCTTTATATTATTGCCACGTATACCCAGTATACGCGATCTTGTATATTAATTATTACAATATTTGAAGGTCCCTCATATGACAATCCACATAATTATTATTATTATAACTAAATTCTTTGGATTAAACAAGGAACCAATGTAACCATATTTTAATGAAAACATTATTGTCCTTATTAAATTACAAATTTATGGGAATACGATCATACATACATACAT